AAAAAAAATACTGTTTTATACAGCATTAACTCGAATTTTGGACTGTTCATCGTCGAATCGTTGTTTTATGTCTATAGACCATGACACCTTCTCCAACACTACAGCTTGCTCCTCCATTTTCATGGAGCACAGTAAAAAACTAATTTTTTTGAACAAATTTAAGTAAAATTACGTATTTTGACACTCCCGAACAAACCGCAGTGTTAAAAGTCACGTGCCTTGCCACGTGATATTCGATTGCCACGTGTCTTGCCACGGAGATGTATTTCATACTTTGCCGGTTTCTCATTCGGCATTCTATAGAATTCCTAGGAAATTTGTAAAATATGAATCGTTTCATAGATTGCCGGCTAGTTTTACGCATTATAGTTTTACGGCACTTTGTTTTTTTTTGGTTTTGTTGATTTTGCTTTAAGTTACTTGTAAAAGGCCAACCTGGTCACAGTGTCTTTTTGAGAAATATATAAATAAATAAAATAAAATATACAATGCTTAGGCATTCTATAGAATGCAGTACTTTGCCGGTAACATATATATTGATATCGAAAACATGTTTATAATATAAAAAATGAATTGAAACTTTATTTTGTATATATTGATATCAATAATATCGTTTTCGGCACATGAGTATTAAAAATTAAAAATTAAACCAATATTATTTTTAGTTCAAAAAAAGTAGTTTGACGATAGAAATTAAATTAATTTACTATATATAAATCACATATGTACAATTTACTAAAATTAATTTTTAAAAAACTATTGTTATAATGTCATAAAATAGAAAAAATCGATTTCATTTAGAAAGTAGAAAAATGCATTTTAATTTCAACTTTACACGTAAAAATTACGAAGATTTGCTCAATATTCCGGATTTCACTTATTTATAATCCATTTTTATTTATATTTAATTACGTAAGAATCGAAATTAATAAAATATTAGCGTGTAATTAAAGCTACGATCCTCTGATCGGTAATGTTTTTACCATAAGGACATAGTAAGATGTTTCGTTTTCGACTAAAAGTGACGTCAAATAAGCAACCAATGAAAAGCGTTTCTTTTCTATGAGGCAACCTTATATTCTAGGACTTTGTACCGGGTCAGAAATTTTCAAAAATTGGAAACACTAATTATGAGTTGTAAATAAAATAGTAACTCATAATTATGTTTTTAGTTGTAAGAAATCATTTTAATTATCTGATACTTAATTGTTATTTTATTCTTTGAATGAAGAAAATTTTCTGGGAATGATATAAATTATATAAATGATATAATGAATGAATCCTAAGTATAGAAGTGAATAACTTATCTATTTTTTGAATAGCTATGACACTACTGATATATTTTTATATCGAATTTATTGAACACTATGTTTTGCGAATTATGGAGGAAAATTTCTTTCACTAGTCTGTGTTCCGCTAGCAATATAATAGATTACTCCTTGTATATAATCAACTTTAAACAAATATCACGCTTTATCTTCAGTGTTATTTTATTGACTTGTTATATGAAACAAGTGGTTTTCCAACCATATAATTATTTAAAAGTGTTGACAAAAAAAAATAAAAAAAGTTTATTACCTTTTCAAGAGCGGTGATATACAAGATTTTTCTATACTTATCTTCTTGATATTCTTCTCCAAACAAGATATTTTCTCTGATAGTGTCGTTGAATACCCAAGCTTCTTGAGAAGCATAAGCGATCTTTCCTTTAACTGTCACCCTACCAGAACTTATCGGAATCTCTCCCAATATCGACATTAATAGAGAAGTCTAATGGAATGAATAAAACGTTTGATTATTTGAATTGAAAACTATGCATATATAATATAAATACATAACCATTTCAATAATATGCATTAAATATTGCGATTAATTTAAAATCAAATTTTAAAACATACTATTCTGTTGTTATTTTTACATATAAAATTACGTTTAAATGAGATATGTTAAATGAAAAAATTCTACAAAATGTAAGTATAAATAGGCCTATATCCAGTTAAAGATGTAAAATGACTTGTTACAAATTACTTTCTTTTATGTAAACAATAGTTTTTTTTCTATTGTCTACATAAAAGGTCTAGATGTTGACAGCATGGCGAATTAGGCAAACGAAAAAATAATACTAAAAAATTTACGAAAAGTTTTCAGTTTTTTTAATCAATTAAAAACGAAAATAGAAAAAAAAATTTAAATTTATTTTTAGAAAGAAAAAAAGGCGATTTTAGGTAAAAAAATAACTGCCTCCACCAATACAATAATCAGATAACATAATAAATTAAATATCGTAGAACAAATTTATTATCTAAATTTAAAAGTTAGTTTCATTACTAATAGATAAATGTGTTTGATTATTTAAATTCAATTTTGTTAATTATTCTAAACAATCTTAAAATCACAAAGCACATGATTAAATTAAAATATAGAACTGTAGAACAAGATATTTACCTTTCCTGATCCAACAGGACCTATAACAGTTAGTAATTCTCCAGGCTGTACGTTTAAAGAAATATCATTCAATATTGGTTCCTTTAAAAAGAAAAAAGTAAATAAATTGTAAGTTATTTCCTTAATTCACAAATATTTTACAAAGTAAAAATACAGAAAATAATGATGTAACTGCAGTTTCTAATGTGCAACCAATAATTTCACAATTTTAGAAAAAATAACTGGTGTTTGTGAGACGGCATGCGACACTTAGGGTGCATTCATATCATGCGAGTAATGTACAGTACAGTTAATTAAATAAAATGAAGCTATGCCTTACTTTTTTCCATGCAGCTGTGACATTATCCACCCATATTCCAAATTCGGTTAAACTTTCTCTTTCTTCTAGAATTTTTGAGGTATTGCTGTCTTTTTCTTGAAGAAGCAGAAAAGCCTAAATTCAAATATGCAAAAGCAATTAATGAAATTTTATACCCACTCACTGGAAATCATAGAAAATTAAAGCTATTGTAAACTACAACTGTGGAAATCCAAAAATTGAGTCTAGTATAACAGAATGAAAGATGCACAAAAGGCGATCTGTCCAGGAATTGTCTATCCGTTTATGTAATCATCTGCTAACCCCATCATGGGTCTGATGAAACCTACGATGGGTATGACACAAATGGCTTTTCAGTGGCTACAGCAGAAAACTGAAAATAATGAAGTTTTGAAACACTTAAAGTATTTTTAAAACGTTCAAGACTAAATATTATAATATTTAAGTTTTTTAAAGAGGTTTCTCCTATGTAGAGTCCTATATGAACTTGATTGTTATTAGTTTTATATAAGACTAAAATAAAATTATCGTTTAGGACTCGACAAAAAACGTTAATAATTTGTTTTAACTCATGTTAGCTGAAATAACATGATTCAGACATTTTCCCTATTTGAAGACAAAATTGCTATAAATACCATAAGTTGCCTTCACTTTTTTGTAAAATTCCTTTATCACATATATGAGAAATGTGTTTTTATTAGGTTTAATAAAAATTAATACAAACTAATCGGAAATAAATTTGCGGAAATTGGAATGCAAAATCGAATAGTTTATGATCGGAAAATATTATTGATTTTTACCAGAAGTCTACAATCCTAAAGCAGAAGGTTCCCTTCCAGAAAATTGTAATTTAAGTGGTTCCCTTAACATTATTCTTCTTGAATAAATAAAGCTAAATCGGTATGATTGTGAGGACCCAAACGGGGTCCGAAAGCAGGCCAATAACGACTTTTTAAAAGAGTCAATTTTCGTAGTGCGAAAGAGCGAACTTAAAGATCGGATTTAAACAATGAACCTTTTGTCTTGTTAAAAGATTTTAAACAATAGATAGAGTAAAGTCGAGGAAAACGAGGTTGGAGAGGAGTCGTGTTCCGACGCGACGTTGAACTCTCCCGCGCCCTTCCTGAAGTTTCGAATTGTCACCATGTGACGAGGGGAGACCAATGGAGAGGCGACCGCGGTGGAAAAATTGATAAAACCGCGTTTTCGGGAACTTTACGGGGTCTTGGGTTTTGGTGCGTAACGCTACCCTGCTGGGATTTGGTGCTCACGACAGAGACACAACGAAGGCTCTTTCGACGCCCTAGGAGCTGGTTTCGACAACCCGTTCTGTCCAGAATCGCCGAGGTTCAACTCGTTAACCGAGGACATCGCGACAAGTGCTGGTGCGTGCTCCGGGGACATCGTTCTCTGCGTCCGACGTGCGAAACACCCAAGGACCGACCGAACTGTCGAACTTTTCCGTGTTGTTTGGGAACTGTTTTAGTAACCCATCGGT